CAGAATGAGATTATCTTAAAAGAGCATAGTATCTTTACCACTGGCACAAGTACTTTTTAAAAACTGTATAATGACCAGAATTTCAAGAATTATAGTGTTTCAGTTTTCCATTCATCTGTGGGTCAGTAGTTTTTTGTTTTTGTTTTTGTTGTTTAATCATTTCAGTTGTATTCAACTCTTCATGACCCCATTTGGGGTTTTCTTGGCCAATATACTGGAGTTGTTTACCATTTCCTTCTCCAGCTTACTTTACAGATGAGAGAGACTGAGGCAAACTGGGTTAAGTGACTTGCCGAGGGTCACATAGCTAATAAGTGTCTGAGGATGGATTTGAACTCATGAAGATGAGTCTTCCTGATTCCAAGACCAGTACTGTATCTACTGCCCCACCTAACTCCCCTCAATAGTTTTATAAGAGGTCAAATATGAACACCTTCCCCCCACCGCTATAGATGCTTTTGTTTTTCTATACCATATGAATCATTCAGTATTAATTTCTTAAACTAAATAGATGATGATGACTGAGCATTGTTGGTCTTGTGTTTTGAGTCACTGTTGTGTTGCATCCTACCCCTAGGGTTCTGACTTTGTCAATCCCTACATTATTTATTTAGTCATTCTGTAATCATTTAGGATATTCCTCAGGGAAATGAAGGAGACTGCCTCTGCCTAGAAAATAAAGGAGATCCCCTCCCTTGGTCAGCACACAGAGTAAGAGCACACAACGAGAAGCTTGCGGGGAGGGGCCTGTCTACGTGCTCCGATCTGAGGGGGAAGAGAGAATCACAGAGACATGGTCACTTGTAGATACGTGTTTGTCCTTCAGCAAAAGCAGCAGTACACCAATAGCTCGGGTCAAGCACTGACCCTTTAAACAAGAATTTGAAGAGATGTTGGCTTTGGGGATGTTTGTACTTCTCCCTTGTGTTAAGATCCCCTGGAAGTAAGGTAAGGCACTTGGCCTTACATTCTTGAGGTTTTGTGGTGGTGGCTATTGTAGTTTTTAAACAGTATAGGAAAAATTGTACATATGGTCCTCAGATGTTTGAGGTGAAAGGGAATGTTAGTCCAGGCCATTCCTTCATCTTACAGAAAAGGAATTTAAGGCCCTAGGAGGCAAAGTCAGGTTATACATACACAGTAAGGCTGTGTCAGAATTGGAATTAGAACCCATGTCTCCTGACTTAAAAGTTTAGTGTTTTTCCATGCTATTGATTTACACCATTATTTTCCCTTTCTTGTGGTAGGACCAGAAATAGCAATTTCTCCCACTCCCCTTCCTCTTGCTAGTTCCTTCCTCCCCCAATTAACAATCCCTTTGGCACCTAGCTTTAGTATTTTCAAAAGAATCATTTAGCAGGCAATGCTTTGTAGCTCGAGTGAAATCCTCTTGTGAAGAATAGCAATCTGAAGCTCAGGATTCCAGCCCTCTGATAGCTACATCACTGACTCATTGCATAACCCTGGGGAAATGTCACATGCTGCCTAGCTAGGAGGAGCAGCTCTCTGTTTTCCCTTCCTACCAGTGAGACATCATCTTCCATTGCCTGCCCAGCATCCTGACTCATCATTTGCCAATCAGAGCTGTTGGCACCCATGGACTACCCAGGGCTCTGAATGTCTCCACTTCATGATTTTTTTCCTATTTCCTTTTATAAGCCCGAATTTCAAACCAGGTTTGACAACCACTGTTACACCATAGGAGCACAGAATTTAGACCTGAAGGGACCTGATCTCAAACCCTCTTCATTTTTCACATAAAGAAACTGTGGCCCAAAGAGGTTGAGGTGGCTTGTCCAAGGTCACAGAGGTAGTACATATCAAACTCTAACTGGGCTCCTGGTGCTTCTTCCACTGCATGCCACAGTTTCATGTGCCTTAGTTAGTCTTACCCTACAAAACCATTCCAGTAAATAACCACTTTAACACTTTGTCTTCCACTTAGAAGCCTGCAACTAAAATCTGAGAAAGTGACACAAGATCCTATTACTTCACATGCCTGCAAGTAGCAATCACTTTTCAGTTATGCCTACTACATGACTGATTAGTAAAGGCAGAAACATTTTGATAGTTCCATTTTTTTCCTTTATGTCCAATAGACATATGTTTCTTAGAAACAAAACCCAGGTTATCTAGAATGTCATAACTCACCCTTTGAAGTGGCATGGCTCTTGTTTAAGTTGACTTATCTTAATTGATACTTGTTTCTGAATTTTCCTACTATGTTTCCATAAAGGTTCACAGACTGCTTATCTTCAGCGTATTCCCCAGTTCTGAGAACAGTTGACACACCCCTTTGGTGTGCCATAATGAAGACACTGCTCTGGACAAGGAAGGAGATGAGGGTAGGGGGTAGGATTCCTTTTCCATTAAAACAAACCTCTGCTTTTAATTCTCGCTCTGACAGGATAGAAGTAATACTCCCAGTATAGTTTTATGAAATGAACCTAATGTGCTTGGAAAGTACTTAGAAATACAAGCATAATACTTAAATAAGTAACACTTGTGTGTGCAGTAGCAGTTTCTCAAGTGAAGCCAGCCAAGATACATACAGGTCCCATTTGTCAGATTTCTCAGATAAGCAAAATGGAAAAGTAAAAATGTAAGCATTTAAAAATGAGTGAATTAGGGGCAGCTAGGTGGGGCAGTGGATAGAGCACTGGCCCTGGAGTTAGAAGGACCTGAGTTCAAATTCAGCCTCAGACACATAACACTTACTAGCTGTGTGACCCTGGGCAAGTCACTTAACCCCATTGCCTAGCCAAAAAATAAATAAATAAATAAATCTAAAAATTAAAGAAAAAAAAAGAATGAATTGCTGCTCCTTGTCTCTTATTCACCAAGGTGAACAGAAATAGGTGCGGCACATTGCTTTCTTAGGAAAAGTCTCAGTTCACTCAGTAGATAACTAAAGATGTTTATATAGGGGTAGGTTGAGAGGCTGTTAACTATTTCTTTGTCCTCCTGACAATCTAAATATTGAGGTGTTATTTTTCTTCCACGAAACAAAAAAGACTAAATGATAGTTTATAAATGCTCATAGGCGTTAAATGATGGAAGAACGAGAGAAGTTAAAAAGATTTTAAGGGTAAGAGGTAGTGAAGAGAGCCTTTATTGGTGAATGTACTGTAATACAGTTTTCATAAAAGCACATGTTCATGTGTATGTCCCTCTGTTCTTATCTATTCCCCTATATCTTATTCTGTTCTTACCTATTAACTCTATTCTTTCCTATCTGAGCTTCCCTGTTGAGAGCACCATCATTTTCCCAGTCACCCAGACTCGGGATCTCAGTGTCACTTTGACTTCTCACTCTCATTCTACCCATTTAATCCATTGTCAAATCTTGTGTCTACCTTCACAGCATGGCTTATACACACCCTCTTCTCTTCACTCATGTAGCCACATAACTAGTTCAGACCTTTACCACCTCTCACCTGAACTATTGCAATAGACTTCTGATTGGTCTCCCTGCCTCAAGTCTCTCCCCACTCCAATCCATCCTCCACACACCTGCCAAAGTTATCTTCCTAAAGTCTAAATCTGACCACATCACACATACCTCCACACTCAGTAAACCCTAGTGGCTCCCTGTTGCCTTTGGCCCCTTCCTACCTTTCCATTCTTCTTAGACTTTGCTTCCATCCACATACTCTGCAGTCCACACTGGGCTTCTTGCTGTTCCTTGCACATGATAGCCGATCCCTAGACTGTGCCTTTTCGTTGACTGGTCCAACATGCCTGGAATGCTTTCCCTCCTCACTTCTACCTCCTGCATTCCCGGGTAGTCTTCAAGACTCAGCCCAGTTCCCACCTTCTACAGGATGCCTTTTACAGTCCCATCTCCTGCTGGTACCCTCAGGAGATTACCTTCCCCATTAGATAAATGCTTGTTAGCTCTCTTTTAACTCACATCCTACCTTCTTCGGGAGGCCTCTCCTGGTACCCACAGCTGCTAGAGCCTTGCCTTTTCAGATTACCTTCTTCTACTCTGTATATATTTTATAGTACCTAATTATTTACGTTGTCTTCCTCATTAAAAGATGAACTCTTTGAGGGCAGAGAGTACTTTTATATTTGTATCTTCAGTGCTTATCACGGTGCTTGGCACATAGTTGGCACTGAATAAATGTTTTTTGTTGTTGCTTTGCGATTCCTTAATTCCTGAGAGCCTTGATTGCCTTAAGAACTTTCTCTGCCTTAGTATCAGGCAGATAACTTCATCAATTCATCCAGGCATTCAGACCATGTTTTTGAATATTCTGCAAGTTGTTAACCATGTTAAGGGTAAATTTTTCCTTTTTGCCTGGCACTAATCATCAGCCATAGAAGAAATAAGAAGGAAAAAGTTCCTTTCTTCACCATGAAATGTCATGTGCTTAAATTGAGGCAATAATTGAATGTTACTAATAAGAATTAATTTACTTATTACAGTAAGATTTATGATGAATGAATTACCAAGTGGGAAAAAGAGTCAAATACCCTATTTAGTCATCAATATTTCATAATGATAGGTAAACATAAGAAAATCTGTTGTCTCTGTTGGCCTTGGACATTGATTTTGGTGGGACTTAGTTGGAAAAGTAACAGGTGATGTGCTTAAAAGGGTTATCACAATTGCACAGTGAAAAAGGATCAACTGAAAACCTAATTGAATTCTGCAAAAGGCACAGATGTGGTTAATTGAAATCACTACTTCAGCTATAAGAGATTCTTCCAAATGGTGCATTTGAGCCAGTTTGAGACAGTGCAATTCTGTAAGCAGAATTTGGGATTTCAAGTACTTTGCTTCCACTATATTCACTTTACCTTCATAATATTTACTTGTAGAGTGCATTGCCAAATGAGCAGAACACCTGGGATGTATAATTTTTAACAGGGGAATGCTGATCTTCACCAGAGTTGAACTTTGTTTCTGGAGAGGTGATTGCAACCACCTGATTGTAACTTGCTATAAAATGAAATAATGATTCCATTCTTTTGTTCCCTTCTCTCCATAGCTGCTATTAACTTAGCAAAGCTGAAACTATTCAGACATTACTACGTATTGGTGAGTAAGAAATCTTAGCTCTGTAAATGAGAACCAAATGAGTTTTGGGAGAACAAAAGTACTACATGTTTTTTAGGTGGGCCTTAAGTTTCTACCCTTATATTTGATTTTTTTAAAAACCATGAGTCATCACTGAATCTGTACTCTTCGAATTTCATTTTTTAATGAAATTAAACATTTTTCTTTTTATTGAATAAAATATCAAATACCTGTTACTTGTCATTAAGAATAGAATATCATCAATCAATATATTAATTGCCTACTCTGTGTCAGGTGCTGTGCTAGGAGTTGTGGATACAGAGACAAAAATGAAGAAGTCCCTGCCCTCAAGAAGCTTACTTTCTGTTAACAAAGACAACAATATATGAGCATAGAGGAAAATCCATATAGAATAAATGCAAGATGATTTGGGGGGTGACGAAAAGCAGTGCAACAGAGATAAGGAAAGGCCTCATGTAGAAGGTGGCATTTGATCTGAGCTTTTAAGGAAACGAGGGATTCTGAGATGCAGAGGTGAGGAGGAAGTGCCTTCTAGGCAGGAGAAACAGCCAGTGCAAAGTCATAGAGATTGAAGATGGAATGGATTGAAGATGGAATGCTTTTTCTCTAGATTTCACAATGAAGTTAAAGAAAATGAATTTCACTCTCTGGTGAAGAACTTTCATTCTTTGAGAATAGAAAAACTATTTGTAGCAGATTTTTTTTTAAATCTTGAAAACAAGATAACAGATGAGAAATGGTTCTTAATTGTAGCATTACAAACAAGAGCTTGCTAGAAGTCATTCAGTTCACAAATTTTTCCTAAAAAGATGAAATTCCAGACCCTTTGTGGGGGTGGCAGGCAAGAGCCTTCTAGAATTGGTCTACTCACTCTGAAAGAAGTGTTTTATGAATCTTTCCATCACGCCATCTGTGGCTTTGGCATTGTCAGCAGCTTCAGATAGTTCACTTTCCTAAGCAAATGTGAGATTGTAAATAGCAAAGATGGCAGGGCTGCTTGAACCATGAACCAGTTAGCTGTATTTGTTATTTCAAAAACCAAGTATGGAGGTAAAATAATTCTCCTCTTGAACCAAGTAAAGGAGTCATTGTAGGACTGTCTCTAAATATGTGTGTGTCTTAAGAGTTTAACTTCAGATTGCAAAGTCAGGGGTATCCTGTCAAAACTTTGTGAACCGGGAACATTTGAAACTATCCAAACACTCAGTTTACTCCCAGTGAGATCTGATGATGGTGTCAGGCAGTGGGGTTAAATTCGTGTTACAGTAAGGTATTGTTTAGATGTTCCCAGAGCAGTATCTTAAGGCTCTCCTGTCTCAGCAAGGGAAATAACTGAGTATTTTAGCTTCCCCGAATGTGTCCCTCCCATAAGTGGAGCATCAGTGTGTTTAACTAGTGTTGTGAGGATCTGAACATTTGGATTCTCTTTTGTCTTTCATTGTTTTCTGTTGTCACTGTTGAAAAATCATTACAAATATATCTATAAGCCTGGGAATTGAAATGTATCTCTTGGGTCTGAAACCAAAGAAGGCATTATCTTTTGCTGAATAGAGAAAAGGAATATATTTGAATGAGATGGCAAAGGGGTCATTTTAGAGTTCAGATAGGCCAGACTCGGAATGTTTTGCGCTCTTCTCTAGTTGCACTTTTATGAACACTTGTATTGTCTAGAGATAATGAAGTTATCATTTCAAGTGTAACTGCCACAAAATCAATTCTTTTTTTTACCCTCTCACCCATTATTAACTGACATTATAAGTCTAAAGTGATATGCTCCAAATTTCTATAGTTTTAAATTCATTTAAGTAGAAGAGAATGATGACATGAATGCAATGTTGACTTTATTTATTTTACCTTTCCCTCTTTCCTGTAGATTGTCTGTTACATTTATTTCACAAGAATCATTGCAATTCTTCTTAAGCTTGCTGTTCCATTCCAGTGGAAATGGCTTTACCAGGTATGCAGTTGGCAGGAGGAAGTATATCAGACTTCTAAGTAATTTAGGTAAATCTGTGTAAAGTCATCCCCCAACTGCAAGAAGAAAATCAGTTATAGCTCTCACACTGTTATCTCATTACCTGAGGGTAAACTGCTAAGTCCTTCTTTTTCTAATTATCTTCAATTAAAAATCTTCTTTTGTCCATGAAGATGCTGGATCATATGGAAAATCTGAAAGTAATCGCAATATTGATTTTACTTTTCAGTTTATAAAGATTTTGGCTGGTGGGGGGAGGGGAGGGGAGAGACAGACCTTAGGCAGAGAAAGAAAACTTATGATGTGCCCTTTATAATTAAAGTGCCCCCCCATGTACTAAAATGATTTTTCCCCTTCATTTATGGATTTATTTATATACAGTAGTCTTGATCCCTTGCCCCCACCAGCTCTAGTATCTTTTTTTTTTTTTTAATTAAAAAAAAATTGGTAGGAATGTGAAGGCAGACCTGTGTTTCACCAATTTAGGGAACTCTTGGTATGAAAATTCCCTGTACCAGTGCACGACAGCAACTCCTATAACCTAGTCCTATGTATTTGCTTGAAGCTGAGAAGTTAATTGATTTATTATTGGTTAGACAGCACATAGCTAGTATGGGTCAAAAGCAAAACTTGAATTCAGGTCTTCTTGACTTTAGATCCAACTCTCTATTTACTGTTGCTGCACTGCCTCTCATAACATAAAGTAAAGTGTAATGTATAGGATAATTCCTAAGGGACCTTCTCCCTTTGAGAAGGCACTAGATTTAGTGTTAGGAAACCTGGGTTCAAAGCTTATTTCTGGCAGTATACCATCTATACACCCAAGTTACTAATCTCTATAGATTTTGGTTTCCTTGCCTGTGCAATCTGTGAAGATTAGGAATAAGTTAACTATTTGGAGCTGCCAAACAATTTCGAGGAAGATTTATTTTCCTTTAAAAAGTATACCTCAAGCTCTTATTCTAAATTCATCTTCTTGGAATAGTACTAAAAGTTGAGGATTTGGTGATACTGCCCCAATAAAACTGCTGTGACTAGTGAACTTTAAGTCTGATAGAACAGCATAGACTAACTGTGGGAGAGGGGATTATATATGTTACTTTGTTTACTTTAATTTCTGTTCCAAGTGTAGCCTTGGCTAATTACTTTATGGGGGGTGTCTTTCATTTTGCAGCTACTGGATGAAATGGCAACTCTGGTGTTCTTTGTTCTGACTGGCTATAAATTCCGCCCAGCATCTGATAATCCCTACCTGCAGTTGTCTCAGGAAGATGATGATTTGGAAATGGAGTCTGTGTAAGGAATCTGTATCCTCTTCTCTAAAAAAACCTTTGTTTTCATCTCAGTTCTCATTGGATGAAAATACCCCAGTGTGAACTGGGTAGGCCAGGTTAACCTGGTTAGGTGCTCCAGAGGTAAACTTACTCTGTATTTAACAGAAAGAAATACATATTCGGAGGAGCAGGTAGGTGACACAATAGATAGAGTACCTACCCTGGAGTCAGGAGGACCTGAGTTCAAATCCAGCCTCAGACACATGATACTCACTAACTGTGTGACTCCGGGCAAGTTACTTAACCCCGACTGTCTTGCCAAAAAAAAAAACAAAAACAAAAACCAACAACAACAACAAAAAACGAAAAGAAATAGATATTCAGACCCCAGTAGTTTGAAGTATCTGCCAAGCATTGCATAATTTTTTCAGGAAAAAATTAGAGATTACCACTCTTTTAAGAATGATTGACATGTTTAGGCTAGTAGTTCCTTTAGTAAAATGTAATGTGTTTCTGATGACAATTAGGACTGGAATGTACTTGAACGTTTTTGGTAAGTTCAAAACCATTGTGAATGGGTAGCAGTCCATTTCAGCTTCTGCCTTTAGGAGTTGGTGACTAAAAATTCAAAAGTCTGTTGTTTGTATTAAAAATCTTTCTTCTTTACAAATACCATTTGTCATCATGAAGTTAGGTCAACGTTCTTAGTTAATGCATTGGCATTAACTTCATACAACTGTTAAAGTGGACCTTTCTGTTTAACATAGCAAGTGGCTATAATGCTTTCATTTCAGAGTGGAAATAATTGTAATTCATAGAGGGATTCTGAACTGAATTTCAGTTTGTAACATTTTTAAAAAGGAAGAAATCCTTATCAGTCTTCAGGGAAGTAAAAGGTATAGAACTCAGAAGGTACATCAGATGGTGTGTAACCCATACTTGCATGATATATGCTGGATCTTAGTTGATTCGTGGATTTGTATTGGGGTTAGCCAGAAGGCAGCCATATTTATATTCCCTTTTATTTTACTTGTCAGATCAACAAGCATTTATTAAGTGCTTGCTATGTGCCAGAAGTTCTTTTCGTGCAATGTTGGAAGCATTTTGACATTTTGCACTTTAAGTGATGAGAAACAGCACATGCATGATTATATGTAATCCAGAGGATTATAATATGTGATGACTTCCTTTATATTTATTACCACTACCAGAAAAATAATTGAAAGGATGTGCTATACTCATGAGTCAGTAATACCATCGTCTTCAAAGAACAACTATTTTTCTCTCCCTTGATTCTAAATGAATCAATGATGAGGAGAAGCAAGTAAGACAGTAACAGGAAATATATTTGCAGAATTAGCAAAATGCTGGTAAGTGGCTTTCCTGTTAAGGACCCACAAACTGGAGTCAGTTTAATAAGCAGTAGCATCTGCAATCCACCATGCTGACAGAATTTCAATTAGACCTTATCTCTGTGGCAACATATGAAAGAAGAAACTATCATCTCTATAATATATTTTTAGGTTGCAACTTCAACTTAAATGTGAAAAAAAAAATTAGTGTATTGGAGTAAAGAGTTGGAAAATGGGATCATAGGGGCCACGTGATCTGTTACTCACTGAATAATAGTGCTGGAAGAAACATATACTGGTTATAAGTTTCTTAACTCATGTGTGATAAAATTTGGGTTTCTTGAGGACATCCTTGTATCTTTCAACATCTTGAGTTTGTTTCCCTTTGCCACTTTTTGGTGGGTAGAAGTGTAGATGAGATAATAGATACCTTAGGAGAATGTGTGAATGTTCATGTAATATGATGGTGAAAGGGCGTTAATGGTCAGAAAGCTAAACTGTGATTGGACAGAGAGGAAGGTTAGTGTGAGTTAATATGTTCTAGCAAATTCACAGATGATAATGAATAGAAAAAAGTCTGAGAAACATGAACTCAGGTGTATTTGAGTCATCATTTATATTCATGGTGTCTCAATTTACACTCCAGATAAAATGAGAGTAATAGTACTGGCCACCAGAGTTATTCTGCTAAATAATTTAAAATGATTTCTGTAAGCCATTCAGAAATTAATTATTTGACTACTCTTGACCATTCTTGGTGAATTTTTCCCTTTCAGTGCCCTAAGGTCTTTTTTGCTTGGGATTATTAGATATCTGGATTTGAATGTAGCATGTTCCAAGGGGTCAGCTCACCTGAGGAAGATAAGGCACACAGGAAGTTCTTTGAGCTTTGATGTAGTGATGTAATTTATTCCCTCCAACATAGGCTGCATTCTTTGCATTTAAGAAGTAAGGAAGGGAGCAGCTAGGTGGCGCAGTGGATAGAGCTCCAGCCTTGGAGTCAGGAGGATCTGAGTTCAAATTCTGCCTCAGACACATAACACTAGCTGTGTGACTCTGGGCAAGTCACTTAACCCTAATTGCTTCACAAAAACAAAAAAAAGAAGTTAAGTAAGAGTCTCTCCAGTATAAAAAAGATCCTTAATACTGTAACTGCACCTACTTGAGGGTGGGTGTTGTCACCAAGGAAACTACAAAGTGTATACATATACATATACATGCACTGACTGTTGTGGGGTGGGTGGGAGATTTTTGGTCCCAGATCACAGGCTTATAAAAATGAAGTCTGTGAATGAGAATAGCTGGCTGTCCCTAGACACACCTTTATAGTTTGCACTTAATGAGCCTGGAGAGCCTTAAATAAGAAAAGCATTTGGCTGATTCTCCCCCCCCCCCCAAAAATAAATAAGAATAGATTGTTCATGTGGGAAAGTTCTCACAGCGTTATTAAGAATTCCTTTGTTGAAAGAATTTTATAAATTTATTAGAGATGGCACAGCAGAAAAGGCCTGAATTCAGGTTCAGGTTATCAGTACAATCTCTGTTCATCTGAAAGAGACTGAAAAGGCTAAATACAAACTTTCTGTGAAGGAGAAGCAACACAGAACTATTATTTCCCTTTTCTGATTAGGGAAATGTCATTTCTAGATAAATTCTGTCTCAATATCCTAAAAGTAACTCAAGCCAGAAGCAGCCAGAGCTTCATCTTCTAGAATGGCTTGAAGTCAATTTAATTCAAGGAACACTTGTTAAGAACCTACCAGATGCAAAGCTCTGAGGATGCAAAGATTTTATAATGACCTCATCCCTACCTTTCAGACATTGATGTTCTCTTATAGACACAGGGAAGTATAAGACAAGATAGAATGTGGGGGGAGCAAAGGATGCAGGTGATCCTGAATGCTCTAAGAAAATTTGAGAAGGTAGAGAGCGCTTTCACCTGGAAAGAAAAAAGAAAGGGTTGTAAACGGAGGCAAAAGTCAGTTCCTGTGGCTGAGGTAATTGAGGGAATTAGAACACCGAATGGTTAGTGGGAATTGAGTGAACCGAGCTGACTCCATCTTGTGACTCCACAGTGCCAGGGCTGAGGAAGGCAAGTGGTCTTGGTTTGTTATGTGGTCAGCATGCAGTGCTTGGAAAATCAGTGTGCTTGGGAGTTTGAACCTATTTCTTCAGTCATTTCATCTTTTACTTGCCACATCACCTATGAATTTGCCAGGACATATCAAAAGGGAAGGAATGTATTTAAGGCATGAGAGAAGGTTCTGTGTAAATACATGGAAGCAAGAGATGACAGGGAACAGCTAACAGTCCATTTTGGCTAGAATGTAGAGCGCCCCCTAAAGTGAGGAGAACTAAAAACGCCAAAAAGTTCTTTCCTTTAGGAGTCAGGTTATTCTGAGGGAATAGAGCACTTGTATCATTTTATCAAAGCATGGTATCTTTTGCCAGTTGGTTATAATACTCCTTACCTCTTATGGCATTCCCCTCAAATGGGCAAATTGGTTTTAAGCAGTTTACTAGTTTTCTGTACTCACTAGTGGAAAATCATCTACGTGGGACTCTGAGCACCCCACAGATTATCAAAAACCTAGTATTTAGACTTGGCCTGAGCAGATTAGTACATATGAGGGCTTCACAGCATTTACTTTCTTGAGGTTCCTAGATAACCAGATTTGGATTTTTTTTGAAGTGGAAAGCCTTTCCAAGGGTTCAGCTTCTTTGGGACAAACAACATTCTGGAAGCCCTTTGAGCTCTGATTTGTTGAGTGCTCCCACTCCTTCTTTTCTTCTGACCTGAACTTCATTCACAGTTTTTGGAGGTTTTTCCTCTGATAACATTTTTCCTTTGTGGTTTCTCTCTTACCTCTTTTCTGAGATTTTGCTCTAAAAGTTCCTGTAACTGTCACATTGCTGTGACATAGTCTGTTGATATTATTTCTGATTAGCTATTTATGAGTATTTCAAAGGAAAGCCATTGGTCAGGAAAAGCTACATAGACACTTATTTCAGTCATGCCACTAGGTGGAAATCCTTTCTGTTCCCTGATTTCAGAGAGAGGAATCATTTGCCTTGTATGCAGTTATTGAACTACCAAACCAAATATGATTTCCCCCATGAGAATATATAATGATGGCATAATTATAAGTAACACTGATTTTCAGTCTTAGTCCCCTTTCCCTCTTACTTCAGTGTCTTTCTCTGGGCTGAGATTCAAAGATGCTTCTAATTTTCAGTAATGGAACTTGTCATTAAAAATTCAGTAAGTTAAAAAGTATTGAATGCAACTTTAATTACTAGACTCAGTAGCCTTTACATTTAGCATGCATATTCATGGTGATCTGGATTATTTCTGTCATCCTGTGACTAAGAGCAGTGGGGGAGGAAATGCTGAGTTTCCTTGCCCCAGCTGGGAAGTGGTCTCCTTAGAGTTCTGCTTCCAGGCTACCATTCTCAAGACTGTTAACCTCTTGCTGCCTGTTGATTTGATTTGTTGTGAGAAGTGGAAGCAGGGGAATTGAAGCCTGATTTTGTAATCTATTAACTATGCCATGTTACATTTAACCAGAGGACATTCTGTGTTTGGTTGTAGAAACAACCATGTTAATTACTTAGGCTGAAGCCTGTATTGGCTGTAACATAGAAAAATCCAGATTGCCAGACTGAGAAT